TATCTTTGATATCCCATGCAAGTAAAGTTTTACTAAAGGTAGTACAGAAACGGCTGCAAGTATACATTGACAGAGAACTTCCAGAGGTTCAAGACAGATTCAGAAGAGGCTGTGGAACAAGGGATATCATTGCTGATGTCCGATGGATCTTGGCTTAAAGCAGAGAAAGATGTTCACCTGTGCTTTATTGACTATGCAAACGCTTTTGATGTGTGGCTCATGACAAGCTATGGACAACATTGCGAAGTATGAGTATTCCAAACACTTAATTTTGCTCATGAGGAATCTGTACCTGGACCAACAGGCAGTTGTTCGAACAGAACATAGCAACACTGAATGGTTTAAAATTAAGAAAGGTGTGCGACAAGGTTGTATTCTTTCACCATACTTATTCAACCTGTATGCTCAGCAAATAATCTAAGAAGCTGTGTTATATGAAAGAAAATGTGGCATCAGGATTGGAGGAAGACTCATTAACAACCTACGATAGGCAGATGATACAAGCTTGCTTGCTGAAAGTGAAGAGGACTTAAAACATTTATTGATGAAGATGAAAGAGCACAGCTTTTGGTATAGATTGCATCTCAAGGTAAAGAAAATCAAAATCCTCACCACTGGACCAATAAACAACATTCTTATCAATGGAGAAAAGATTGAAGCTGTCAAGGACTTCATTCTTTATGGATCAACTATCAACACTCACGGAAGAAGCAGTCAAGAAATCAAATGACGTATTGTATTAGGCAAATCTGCTGCACAAGACTTTTTTAAAGTATTGAAGAGCAAAGATGTCAGCTTGAGGACTAAGGTGTGCCTGACCCAACCATGGTATTTTCAATAATCTCATAAGCATGTGAAAGCTAGACAGTGAATGAAGAATTGATGCTTTTGAGTTATGGTGTTGGAGGAGAATATTGAAAGTGCCATGGGCTGCCAAAACTTCCAATAGATCCGTTTTGGAAGAAGTGCAGCCAGAGTGCTCCTTGGAGGCCAAGGTAGCCAAACTTCATCTCTCATACTTCGGACATATTGTGAGGAGGGACCAGTCGCTGGAGAAGTATATCATGTTTGGTAAGGTGGAGGGTCAGAGAAAAAGAGGAAGACCCCCAACGAGATGGATTGGTCAAGTGGCAGCATCGATGGACTCAAGTGTGGCAAAAGTAGTGAGGTTGGCCCAGGATCAGGCAGTGTTTCGTTCTGCTGTGCATAAGGTCACTATGAGTCGGTACTGAGTCAATGGAACCTAACAACAACAACAACAATCACACTAGGACCCTGTGTGGTATCCACATGAATTGTAGATAGATTGCTTTAAACTGTTTCCATTGCCACATGGCCTGTGTCTCAATTTCCCCTTTCCTATAATGTCTTTTTGGAGTCCTGGTGTGGCACTGTGGGTTAATGCACCAGACTGCAAAGCCGTTTGAACTGCAAGGTCAGCAGTTCGAGCTTACCAGCTGCTCCTTGGAAACCCTATACAGGGTTGCTATGGGTCGGAATCCACTTGACAGCACTTAACAACAACAGCAAGGTCTTACTAGATTTTGTTGTTTGTGTTAAGTCCCAAGGATGGGTTCTGACTCACAGTAACCCTGCATAATGTTTCTGAGGCTTTAAATCTTTGAGGGAGCTGAAAGCTCCATCTTCCTTCTGTGGAGGGGCTGGCAGGCTCGAACCATGGTTCACAGTCCAGTGCTTATTATATGGAACCACTTTAATCCAGTGTGACCTCATCTTAACTTGATTATTTCTGCAAAGATCATATTTATAAATAAAGCCCCATTTATAATGATGAGTATGAATATTCTGGGAACACTATCTCAGTACACCCATAGTGTAACCTCAAACAATGGGAATGACTCTGTGTATACATGAACACTTACAACAGTTTATATATATTTTCTAGTTCAAAAGACAAGACAACCTCTTTGGCCATATTAAGGGTTTGATGTTAATTGAAATTACATAAAAATAACTCTAACTTGTATTTTAGGATCTCCTTGACATTTGCCTTTAAGTTGCTTTGTCAATTCAAAAGTGCCTGGCATCTTGCAGTTTTCTGCACAAGTGTGAAGAGAAAAAAAGGTGATTAGCGTTGGCTGTGGCATTTTCTACCTACACCCCTTTCTCTTAATACTCAGGCGCTTGCAATGGCACAGGTCAATGTATAAATATATGTATGGATGTTTTAAAAAACAAACAAAACATATTGCTATTGTTAAGTACCATCAAGTGAGTTCCCACTCATAGCGACGGTGTAGGTGTATAGGGTTTCTGAGGAGCATCATCTGATGGGTTTGAATGGCCAACTATGTGGTTTGCAGTCAGTGCCAATCCACAGCACCAGCACCACAAAAGTCCATACAGTGGTATAAATCTGACTTCACAATCACATTTATTTCTGCTTGTAAGTGCCATCCAGTCGGTTCCGACTCAAAGAGCTCCTGTATAAGGCTTTCGAAAAGCAGCGGGTGGGTTTGAATCATTGACACTGTGGTTCAAATCGACTTTCAGTACTACAGCACTGCACCAGCACGCTCTCTAGTCCCTTTTATTTCGTTTTCTTCTTTTGGTTTCCACAGTGTAGTTTTTTTAGTTTGCAGTAGGACTGACTTAGATCATAAAACGAAAATGAACAAAACATTAACGGTACAGCCTGGGCTTTGGCAGCAGCATCATAACACACCCCACTCCTCCTATGGCTGTTGGGTTATCTGTTGCCTCTGGCTAAGGTCGTTTTATCTGTGGGTCAAGAAGGAACTGGCTTGTAGACACCTTCCTTTGCCTTTCTCCTTCCTCCCTTTCCATTGCCTCCTTGACCCTTTCATCTCTCCCGTTTCCAAGGTGCTGAGAGGTCGCGTGCTCAGGTACTAGCCTTGCCTCCTTCGTCCTATTTCCTCAGATCCTGGATGGCCAGCACTGACCAGGCTGCGCTCCGGGGCTCTGGAAGGTATGAGGCCCTGCACGCAAGATGCGGGCCCATCCAACAAAGCTCGTAAAAGCGGACATGGGCCGCCGGGGACACCAAAAGAAGCTGCGGCACCGCCACGCGCCCGAGACCAGCTGCCGATAGCGAGCCCAACCACGCGCCGAGCGGCCCCGCCGCTTCCTTCCCTCCTGACTCTTCCTTTTCCTCCCTCCGGGCCGTCCCTCCGCCCCCGCGCCGGGAATGCGCCTGCGCACAAAATTGCCTTCTTCCTACTCCTCCGCCCTTCCTTCCCTCCGTTCCTCCTCCCCTGTCCCGCCTTCCTTTCTCTCTCTTCGGATTTCTACGAGAGCTCGGGGTTGTGAGCAGTTCAGTAGATTTCCCCAGCACCCCGCCCCCCTTTTTTCTCCTCTCCCCACCCCTCTCATCTCCAGTCCGGTGGAGGATGATGCGGCTACAGAGGTCCCAGCCCCAGCAGCGGCACCGGCGGTGGCTGTGGTCTGGGTGGCTGGAACTCGGGTGGTGAAGAGGCGGTGGCGGCGGCAGTTGCTGAAGGAGCGGCAGCCGTCCCAGCCACTTCCCCTGTGCTTCCCTTCCTCTTTAGTGCAGCCAGGAAGTTTTTCGCTTCTGTGCATGTGTGTGTGTGCCGGAGTGTGGGTGTGTAAAGTGAAGGTTTGGGCGGCGTTTGTGCAGGCGTAGGGTTTTTGCCCACTTCGCTACCCGTAACCCGGGCAGCTCTAGAGCCTGGGCTGTGGCCCGAGGAGGGGGCGCGGCGGCAGGCTCTCTTCTTTTGTTGTTGTTTCCTTTGCCTGGGGAGCTGAAGGGGGGGACGCGCCTGGGTGGGGTGACTCGGAGCCGGGGCCTGGTGGCCCCCGGGGCTCCCGGGCTTGTAGAGTAGGGCAGAGTAGAGCGGGCTTCAACATGATGGCGGCCGAGGCCGGCAGTGAGGAGGGCAGCCCGGTGACCGCCGGGGCCGGAGGTGGAGGCGGCGCGGCGGCTGGCTCCAGTGGTTATCCTGCTGTATGTCGGATGAAGATAGCTGCGACTCTGCCTGTGGCAGCCGCCCCCTGTCCTGGGCTGACTGAGGCCGGAGTGGTCGGGACTCTGGGTGGCGGATCCTCCTTCGGGCCAGGGTTCCTGGGAGCCGGGTCTGTTGCGGGGGCACTGGGGGGAGCCGGACTGACAGGGGGAGGTACTACTGCTGGCGTGGCTAGTGCTGCCCACGGCCCTAGTGGGGACATGGCTCTCACCAAAGGGACCACTCCGTTGCTTACTGAGACCCCAGGGCCAGGCGGCGGTTTCCCCCCTCTGCCGCCCCCTCCTCAACTGCCTCCTTTGGGCGCTGGTCTGGGAACAGTGGACGAAGGTGACTCTCTGGATGGACCAGAATATGAGGAAGAAGAGGTGGCCATCCCGCTGACCGCTCCTCCAACTAATCAGTAAGTCAAAACTGCTGCTCAGGGACCGGGAAGCGGGCGGCAGGAAAGAAAGGGGAATGTGCGGGTAATGGGAAGGATCATAGCTGTTTATTTTTTTAGCGATTCGTTTTGTAAAAAGTTGAGAAGTTCTAGGCTCCATGTGCGGGGACTTAAGTTGAACACCCATCTTCCTCACAGGCGTCTCTCTGGTGTCTTCGTATATTTATTGCTCCTCTGGGAAGATGTAAAGTTTTAAGATGGGGAGCATGGGAAAATACGTGTTCAATGAAACTAGATATGGTTCTTGTACCTCTTACAAATTGAGGTGGTATCCGGGATGCGGCTGAGTTTGCAGCTGCCAAGGCAGTCATGGACTATGTGTTTGCAGAAGCTTTCAATCCTAGCATTTGAACATCACTTGAAAATGCATTGATCAGAAGGCTTTGTTTTCATTGCATTGCAAATCCCAGTTTTTGTGTACTGAAAGCATAACGACACAGAAAAGTCTTTGGATCACATACATTGTTAGAATTAGAAAAGCATGACCTGTGAATTACAGGTGCTGTTATGGGTCATATTCCAACAATGCTACTGGTTTCATTGACTCCGAATGTTAATTCCCTGCTAGTGAATCCCATATTAGTGTAATTCCTCTTTTAGTTCAAACTCTGTAAGTACAATATGAGAGCAAAACAAAATTAATAGTGCTTCTTTTCAATACTTTTTGTTGGCGGCCAATACAGTATTCTGTTTGAAAATAGTTTTGACAGCCTGCTGTAGATGTATTGGACAAATGACTTTTTTATGTTACAACCTTTGTTGTTCTTTCTGTAAGTGAATTTTTTGTTGTTAAGTGCTGTCGAGTCAGTTCTGACTCAAACCACTCTGTATAGGGTTTCTAGGAGAAGTTGGTGGGTTTGAACTGCTGACCTTGTGGTTCACAGTCCAGTGTTGATCCACAGCCCCACACCAGGAGTCCAAGATGGAGGGACATATAACAACGTATCATATAATTGGTAAGACCAAAATTTTAAGTGTAGACATGGTGATAGTAGTAGGCAACACTTGCCTTATAGGTAACCTCACACATCAGTTTTAGGAGCTCTGATCGTGTAGTGGCTATGAGTGGGGCACTAATGAGTGGGGTCAGCAGGTGTAAACTGCCAACAGTTCTACAAGAGAAAGATGAGGTTTTCTGCTCCTGTAAAGACTTACAGCCTCAGAAACCCTATGCAGGGTTGCTGTGAGTCGGAATGGACTCCACGGCACACCAATACACACGTACACACATACACACCACATCAGTTGACACTTCGAGTTTCAGTAGACTTATTAAGTATCATAGGAAAAAAGATTCGGTTCATATGATGACAATCACTGGACAATTGAAAGTCTTTGGGGATAAGCTTCTTTAGAGGATTTAGAAAGAACTTTAAAAAAAAATTAATTAGGAAAAGATTTTGTAATACCAATCCAGTTTTGACTTAAGGTTATATCTTGATATTTGAGGTAGAAAAGTGAAGCCAGCCATGGCATAGGAGGTGGGTTTTTTTTTTTTTGTATTAATTCAATACAGAGTTCAAATGTTAGTGTTTTGTCCTACTTATCATGTCATATCTGTGTATTGCAGATATTTTGGGGGGTATATGGCTTTATTAAAAATTCAGTTTTATTGCACTGTTGTGCATTATTAAGCCATTTTGAAAAAAACAGTTAAGTATCCAGTACATACTCAGCATGGGTTGTAATAAAGTTACTTTTCACACCAAAAAAAAATTTAGTTTTATACTGATTAGCAACCAAATTGAATTAGACATATTTAAGATATTGTAGTTCTAAATTATTTTTAATACCTTAGGAAAAAATCGTGAGAAATTCCTAGTGTGAGATTTTCATCCTTTTATGTTTGGGAATTAAAGACAATATTTGTATGACTATGTATGTTACTGTTCAGTATTGTCGAGTTAGTTCCAACTGGTAAGGGACTGTTTTGGGTTTTCAAGGAGTGACTGTTGGGTTTGAACCACCAACCATGAGGTTGGTATTCCAGTGCTTATCCTGTACAGCACCATACCAGGACTCACAGACTATGTATATGAAAATACTTTTTAAATTGTCACTGAGAAGTAGGAGTGTCCCTCTTTTTTTTGCTTACCTATACTGGTGTGGAAGAAGCTCTGGTAGTGTAGTGGTTGTGAATCAGGCTGCGAACCGCAAGGTCAGCAGTTCGAAACTACCAGCTGTTCTGCGGGAGAAAGATGAGGCTTTCTGCTCCAATCTCGGAAACCCTGTACAGGGTCGCTATGAGTTGGAACCGACTCCACGGCACATAACAACAACAACATACTGGTGTGGCGCTTTGGTTAATGCACCAGACTGCAAAGCTGTTTGAACTGCAAGGTCGGCGGTTCGTGCTCATTAGCTGCTCCTTGGAAACCCTATACAGGATTGCTATGGGTTGGAATCGACTCGATGACACTTAACAACATCCTGGTGTAGCATTGTAGGATAAGCACTGGATTGCCAACTCCAAGTTCGGCAGAGCAAACACACTAGCCTATCCTCAGAAACCCTATACAGGGTCTTTATGAATCAGAATCAACTTGACAGCACTTAAAAACAATAATCAACCCAGAGTCACTGGAGATAATTGTGAAGTGAGTAGTTATGCATGCAAATTTGAAGTTAGTCAATATTTGGTTGGAACCCTTATTCTGCCACTTAGTAAGCATTTGATCTTGGAGAGGTCAGTTTTTCTATCTGTAAAATGGAGTCCTGGTGTGACGCAGTAGGATAAGCACTGGACTACAAGGTTGGTTTGAACCACATGACTCGAAGTTCAAACCCATCAGTCACCCCTTGGAAATCCTATACAGGGTTACTATGAGTCAGAACTGACTCTATGGCACTTAATAACTATATCCCTCATATAGTTGTATTGACGATTTAAATAATAATCTTGAAAGTGTTCACAGTGACTGGTACATTGTAAGTGTTCAAAAAATAGTTTTTCAAAATTTTTGTTGTTAGTGCCATCAGGTTGGTTTCGACTCAACGACCATGTATAAGGTTCCCAAGGGAACCACTGGTTAGTTTGAACCGCCAACCTTTTGGTTCAAACCAACCTTGCTGTCCAGTGCTTTATCCCACAGTGCCACATCAGGCTCAGCAGAAGTATATATAGTTTTATAAGGAGCCCTGGTAGCATAGTGGGTTACTAACTTGGTGTCAAAGTCAGTAGTTAGAATCTACCAGTTGCTTAGCAGGAGAAAGATGAGGCTTCTGCTTCCATAAAGATTTCTAGGGTCACTGTGAATCAGAACCAACTCAGTGGCACACAACCACCACCATATAGTTTCATTGTCATTAAATTGACTGCTAATCTCTTGCTATCAGGACTCCCTTATTAATAGCTATTTTAGAGAACGTTTTACGCTCTAAATTCATGTCTGGTATTATTGGTTATTTTTGAAAGTTTTCATTTAACTACTTGACGGCTTCCAGGAGTAGCTTAAACAATTTTTAAGAGTTAAAATTCAAGCATTTCCAATAAATTCCTATTTTTGAACAGTATAATGAATTATTATATAATGCAAAATCTATTCTAAAGGTGTTGAAATGGTCTTGTTCCAAATTGATAATTATTGGTGAGTTGTTGTTTAGTGCCATTGAGTCAGTTCTGACTCATAGCGACCCTGTAAAGGGTTTTTGAGGAGCAGCTGGTGAGTTTGAACCACCTACCGTGCAGTTCAAACAACCTTGCAGCCTTGTGCTTATCCAATAGTGCCACACTAGGACTCTGGATAAGTGATTTGTTAGACTAGGGTTCTTTGATTTTGGAGCCCAGTTTATATCCATCCAGCTAGCTTTGTGCTGTTTGTCACAAGAGAGTCAAGTGACAGTATGTATGAAGATAGATGAAATATGTTAATGTATTAGTATTTTGTGCCTTGTTTTTCAGTGTGCATGTTAACGGATTGGTTTTGTGTTAATTACTGAGCATTTACTTTAGTTTAAGGCTTGAAAAGCTTGTTCAGTTTTAAATATTTACTTGAATCCTTTCTCCAGATTTTGAGAAAAAAACAATTTTTTAACAGAAAATTCTCTTTGTATTTTTATTTTTTTGCTATTAAAAGTTTCTGTATGTAACACTGCTAACAAAAATTTTAAATTACTGACTTTGTCACTGTTACACCCGCTAATTTTATAGAGCTGATTTTCATGGTTCTCATTATTTTCCTTCTTCCCTAGAGTTGAGGAATGGTGTTAAAAGGGCATTGTTTCTCTAATCCACCTTCAATTTCACAGAGATTTTTAACGGAGCCTGCAGTAGCGGGCAGTCTTTGAGTGAATCCAACCTATAGATGAATGTTGTTTAGTCTTAGTCTTACTGTATTTGGAACACTTATTAATTAGTTGCATCATTTGAAAATAGGGAGATTTTCATATTTAAGAGTTTATTAAAAAAAAAAAAAATCACGGCATTTCATTGTATCTGATGGAAGTACCTGCTTGGCTGAGTAGTACTTGGATTCTGACCTCTTTACTTGCTTTACCTTTGGTACTGTTTGCCTGGCATCTGGTGTAAAGTTTTATCCTGGATCTAATATGTAGGATTTTTTATATCTGAGACTTTAAGACTTTAAGAAAAGGAAATGAGTTGAAAATAGTACCTTTATTCCTAAGCATCATCTTAATGGTTTTCACAAAAATAAAATCTTTCTTAGTTAAATCTAATAATTGTTAATACTTAATCAACCTGTAGATTTCATTAACTTTGTTTCTGATTATTGTATAACTGATGAATCATTGATTCTTAATAAAAAATGAAAGTGAGAATTGTAAAGGTAAGTTAACGGACAGTGATTACTGACCAGGATGCAGATGTTATTGCTGTATTCATGTGTGTAGTAGAGTGATGTAGTAGGTGTTTCTAGAGATACAATGAGTAAGGTGCTCCTTTTCTCAACGAGCCCTTCCAGGAAGATTTTAGATCTAGCAGGAAGTTAAGTAAATTAATT